AAAGACAGAAAGGCAATGGTGACAGGGACAAAGACAGAATGGCAATGGTGACAGGGACAAAGACAGAATGGCAATGGTGACAGGGACAAAGACAGAATGGCAATGGTGACAGGGACAAAGACAGAATGGCAATGGTGACAGGGACAAAGACAGAAGGGCAATGGTGACAGGGACAAAGACAGAAGGGCAATGGTGACAGGAACAAAGACGGAAGGGCAATGGTGACATGGACAAAGACAGAATGGCAATGGTGACAGGGACACAGACAGAAGGGCAATGGTGACAGGGACAAAGACAGAAAGGCAATGGTGACAGGGACAAAGACAGAATGGCAATGGTGACAGGGACAAAGACAAAATGGAAATGGTGACAGAGACAAAGACAGAAGGGCAATGGTGACAGGGACAAAGACAGAAGGGCAATGGTGACAGAGACAAAGACAGAAAGGCAATGGTGACAGGGACAAACACAGAATGGCAATGGTGACAGGGACATAGACAGAAGGGCAATGGTGACAGGGACAAACACAGAATGGCAACGGTGACAGGGACAAAGAAAGGGCAACAGTGACAGGGACAAACACAGAATGACAATGGTGACAGGGACAAACACAGAAGGGCAATGGTGACAGGGACAAACACAGAAGGGCAATGGTGACAGGGACAAACACAGAATGGCAATGGTGACAAAGACAAAGACAAAAGGGCAATGGTGACAGGGACAAACACAGAATGGCAATGGTTACAGGGACAAACACAGAATGGCAATGATGACAGGGACAAAGCAAAACAAAATCACTTGGTACACCAGGGGTAAAGAAAGGTTAAAAGTCAAAGGGAAATAGAGAGTCAAAGGAGACAGAATGTAGGAGAAAAACAGGGAGGAAATCATATTTAAGCTATTTATAATATTGATTGACCATGGGCTGTTCTCATCCTCTCATTTGCGTCTTTATTTCCCTTGAATGGATTTTAGAAGGCAGACAACACTTCTAATCTTCCATCCTCAACCATTTATATGACCACTACAACAGCACAAGAAGACTTGTGTTTGCCTTATTTAATTACACACTACATCTCTAAAGAAATTTGATTGCTTCTTCTAAATACGATCATCTGAAGGAAGTTAAAAGTGCTTACCTGGTAACAGCATAAAGCGAGTGTAAAAGTCAGAAATGACGAGAGGATCTATTCCTGGCACAAATAAATATATTTAGTTTCATTTCCTTCTTCAAGCAATGAAAACCCCTTGAACCTTTACATGTTTATATAATGGTCTTGTAGTCTTGATATCGTATATAACAATGTGTACATCATGATCTAGCATGAGTTTCCATTACATAAGAGGTTCGTGAAACAAGTCTTAAGACATTTGTTTCATGGTAACCTCCACTTCCTGAAATTTAAGCATGCTGCACATGATTTACTTTATTTCAAATTACAATGCAAAAAAATGTTTTGTTATCCTGATCAGCCATTAATCTTACATGATAAGCTTGTTCTGATAAAAAATATTTTTTAATAATTATCATTTTATCATTGACTAGATGGATGCATAATTAAGGGCTTTTTATATATTGTTGTAAATAAAGGAAGTGTATTAAAAACTTTATTTATTTACAACAGTTATGAAATTTATGAAACAATTTAGTTATAACAACTTATATTAATCGCTATTGTTGGCCTGGATGTTAGCATGCAGGAGGACTCAATGTGAGAGGAAACTGGAGTACTCGGAGAAAACCAATATGGTCTGGCAGGTGACCCTATACCTCAGAGAATCGAACCCTGGCATCCATGGTCAAATGTGAGTGCTTTAAACATTAATCCACTGCACCACTCAACCACCCATCTTTTAATGCCTCTTGCAAGTTAAAATTACCTAGAAAATGTTTTTAATACTTAGGTCCCTGCATTCACTTTGGCAGAAAGGGAGCTTCTTCTCACCACTTCGTATCCGAACCAAAAACTGTGGTTACATACCGACACCCATATCGGGATAAACCCTATAACTAAAGGAAAATATTTAACGAAAATTGAACGTGACCGCACTAGTCGACAGAAAGGTGGAGAATGACTACGCCTTGCGTACGCACCCGTACCGAGGCCTATTATAACCGCACGTGCACTACATGACAGAGAAGACAAATAACTACCTCTATACTCACGAAATGCGCGAATATTTAACTTTAATACACGAAGTCTAAGCAAAGTCAGTAAAGCAAAAAATAGAAATCACAATGACCTATATTTACATCATAGTTGGTGTACAACTACTCGAGACGCATCCACATATGATTTTTTTTAATTTTTTTTGTCTTCACAGATACATCATGTAAAATATCATATCAGTATACATATATCGTGTAAACATATCCTCTCACAGGACAGGAGTCACATCTTTGATTTTTTTTCCTTGCTTGGGATGAGTTCTGGAGTTCAGTATCTGAGAAGTTTTGGTTTTTTACCAAACATTACTTATAACTAAACGTCACATACTGTATACATTTACATCACACCACAAAGACATAAACTATTACAAGGCAATATATATATATCCATATATATAGTCTGACTTAATAATAATTTCTATCTACATATGAAATTTAATCATAAACTGTCGGACATTATTATCAGAATTACGGAGCCAATGCCAGTGACCATTGATAGTACATGGTAAATCTTCTGAAAGTCTTTGATGATTAGCTAGTAGTTTGTCAAATATCTCTTTAAGACTTCCTTCCAGATATTATATATTATAAATATTCTACAGGATTAATCAGGGCTATTTTAATTCCAAAGCATGACCTTAGGTGTGAATATAAATCTAACACCTCTGAGAGAATATTAACTAGTACATATGTTTCAATTAACTCAATACCAACTGGTTGTCATGGTGATAGATGTGTAGGTACTCATTGACCCCTGACCTGTACTGGCCGCCAGTGATACAGATGCTGGGAGGCCTACAACTCCCCGCTCCCACAATGGTGCTTGCATTACTAAATACATGTAGCTATATAGCCTAGGGCCATGTAGGTTACACACTACCATGCATCATGCTTACCCCAACTACACCACCTACCAGTGATTAACACTTAGTACTGATTACACCTCATCCTCCTGAACCACAGGGACTGGAAATATAGTGTATTCTTGCTATAGGAATATATTTCTGACTAGTAACCCTGTGTCTAACTGTAGAATTAGAAGGGACAAATGACCCAGACAGGCTCCATCCTTTACTTTCATGACTAATAATATAATTAGAGGATAATTAATCATTCATTAACCCTTTCACCCCTATGTAACTTTAGTAAACTCTTCCATGTATTGCTCTGGATGAGTCCATTATAGTCTGCAGTGGTGAAAGGGTTAAAGGGGGGGAACTGCATACACTATTTGTCTGAAGGATTTTAGAATCCCTCTTTTAAAAAATGTATATTTATTCTTAAGTTTGATATATCACAAAATTTGAACTGAATACAACACTAAATATAAATAATGTCTTGTATGTTCTAGAATATGAAGAACACTTCTTCAGGTGTGGCTTTAATTACTTACCAATACATTTTACACTTAACATGAAATCTTTATACATTTGACTTCTGGTAATATCCAGATTCATACATGTTCCTTGTTTGATATTTAATAGTCACTAGAACTGTGAAGAGTGGGTCTGGCATCTGTTTTGTATATTTTACATTTATTGTGTTTTTCTTTACATATTCTACGTAACACATGAACAGTTTTTTGCTATAATGTATCTAAAACAGAAAATAGAATATTGAATACTTGAACTGGCCCGAAGATGTTTTATTGTACGATTATGGGGCTATGGTGTGAAAAATAATGTGTTAAGAAACAGGAGAGCTTGTTATTATTACTGCATATAGATTTTCAAATCATCTTATCATAAAATCTTATAAGACAGCAGGTGTTGATGAAATATTAACTCCCACGCCACCTACACTTAATTAAAAGCCCTACTTGATAGCATCATTCTAAGGCAGGTCTATGTACCACTTAACATCCTTATTAAACATCTCGAGCAAAATCTTGTTTATATAATCATACCATGCACTCTTGAATTGGTCATGCTTATCATTGTGGTAACGGAAGCACAGTACTTCTACAGGCCCCAGTTTCACATAGACTGTACATGTCACCATGCGGCATGAGATTCATATTTAATTTTAGGAGCTAAAAAACATAGAGAACGTACGTAATAAACAAAACTGTATTAAACTGTAAGATGAATATTTCCTGACATTGTTAGTTTATAAATATTATAATAGACAGTTATATATATCCATATGGATTTCAAACTTTAACTTAATAAAATGGGGGTTTTTTCTTCACAAAATGTAAAGAAGTTGATTCCTCAAATCAATTAACAACAAATTCTGTAGTGTTGGACTAACCAATCAGATTAGCTCATAAAATCTCATCCCTAATTTCTAGATAAGAGTCACTGTTCGACACTTGTTCTAGCCTGTTGTTTAGACAATCCCTTTTCCCAAAACAGACCACTTAATTTCCTATGTATTTCCCCCCTTTTGTTGACATATATGACACCACAATCAAATTTAATATAATGTATGATGTAAATATAATATTAGCAGATTAGGACCAGAGGTCAAATTGTTACTCATAAAACTTGTAACACCAGAAAATAAAAAAACTAATGACAAAATTACACATACTGTATTAGGAAATTGACAATATAATCAATTTAAAAATATTTTTATCAATTAGGCCTTCTGTGTATGACATATTATCTATTACTAAGTATACGAATCTTCGTGTATCTAAAATGTCGATATAATAGGTAAGCCAATTATATTGTTTTGTTTGTTGTACTGTGTGTACACTAAGTACATCATACGTACCTAAACAACGTAGGATACATCGGTTCATAGATCTGATAAGATGTGAACGTTTCAAAAACATGCAAACTAGCAGAGACAGAAACATAGAATACGAAAGAAAAAATCTTACCGATCGTTGTCAGTATATCATAGCTGTTAATTTTGGGTGGTCCCTTGTCTCTTTCTTCATCTCTTCCTGAACTCTGACGTTTTATTTTGGCAACTCTAGCAGACGCCATTTTCGAGCACTAAGTTACCCTCCAGCCAAGAGTTTACTATCCACCGGCACAGCCAATCTTGTCAACAACCTTACTCCAACATGTCCTCGAATAAACAGAACAAAGTTAAATGTAAAGACATATTCGTCAGTGAGAACTCGGTAATGTTGACATTTTGGCACCTGTTCACGACCAAATATGACCCCGATCACACAACACCACCCTTCACTCCTAACACCAACTGTCAAACTGGAATACAGCAAGCACCTGCCAAGGTCCTAATTAGAGTTATCTCCCATTGAACTAGGGACATATTATAGTCCGTATCAAAAAAGCGTTTGTCTCGGCTAAAAAAAAACACATTATGAACTAGTTCCACTCGTCGTCATTTTATGTGCATACAATTTTGTTTTGTTGTTTTGTTGGGTTTTATTATCATTATTTTGTGTGTGGCGTTGCTGCGGGGCGGGGGGTGTTGCTAAGGTTTAACAGAACAGGACAGTTGGTGGTGGTGTGGTAATAGAACTTAATAGCATGTATATTACATAATGAATAACATGTAAAAAAAGATACAATATGATATATTATATCGGCTGTTTATCGATCTCTTTATTTTCCCATTTTTTTCTAACAAGTTAAGAAAGGAAGACAAATTAAAGTAAAACCTATTGTGTACTTAAAACTCTTTGCTTACCGGCCGTAACGCTTCCATCTTTTCCCCCGAAATAACTGACTATTACCACCTATTCCATTATACAAATGGAGCCGTGAGTTCTACTATTATACATCATATACTAAAAAATGGTCTCTTTAGAGACGTGTATTTGAAAACATTTGTTCGTGTAGTACGTATGATTTGCTTTCAGTATCTCGATCAGCGCGTGCTTTTTTATCATCCGGTCAAGAAAGAGTCACGTGCGTTTATTTAACTGGATTAGAACTGCAATGCAGAAAAAATATGTTCATGTTTAATGCGGAAAATAAGAAAATCAAACAAATATACACTTCATCGGGTACACTTTTCACAAGAATTCTTATTTCTTAAAGTGTGTGTTTGACCGCCTACATGTATCTTGAACATTCGGTATAATGCATGAAAAGGGGAAAGGACAAGTGCAACGAGCCACACAGAGATTCGAACCCAGGACATCCGAATTCTAGACTCATGCCCTACTCACTGATCGAGCTACCTAATCGCCGGCGATCGACCCAGTCCAGTTCTACTATTTAAATCATAAACGATGATATGCTTCATTTAAGCTCACTGGGCACTAAAACATATATTTATATAACCGTTACTGATAACAATTTAAATGCTTCAAAAATCGTTTTCTGTCGTGGGGCTTCGCCGCCCTGAACCCCCCACCAGGGCCCCGCCATGGACCCAATGGGGGCCTAGGCGTGCAGACCCCTCACAGTTGCTTACTCATATCTTTGGGCTTAGCTATAATAAAGGCCCGAAATGACAAAGGGAATCTAATTGTCCATTAAATATAAGAAATAAAAGCCAAAATGCGCATATAGCTTCGTGATAGTCAAAGGATTGATGTTCCAGCACCAAATTAGGTTAGATGCTAAATAGAAACTATTAATATTTTCCTTCAAAATTTATCAAATTTTGTGTACCATCACTTAAACTCGACATTAAAATGCGTTATAACTAGAAAGGCGCTAGTTTATATCATTTTTGACATCTCATTGTGTACGTGTAATATATCTGTACGATTGAAATGAATTCTAAGAACTAAAACATGAAATTGTATTACACTAAAATAGTAACTTTTACCGGAAAACCGCCTTTACATAATTATATTTAGACCTATACAAAGCACAATGAAGGGAGCATTGAAGAAATAATACGAGCTTTATAAATAACGTCAACTTTTTTCCAAAACCTGGTGATGATGATGACGATGATGATGATGATGTCATGATGATGATGATGATGATGATGATTAGAATTGTGATGTCGATATGGTTTAGTTATATTGGGTTAGCGTCATAATAGCAGCTAATATAATTTAAGGACTAGTCCGGATCTGATGCCGAATTAAGAGTGCTACTTCACTGAAATACCATACCGGCACAGTATTCCACCCGGTTACATAGGGTTTTGCGATTTCTCGTAATGAGAACATAAAAGCTAAGTACCAAATCTCCAGAAGGTTTCATCATTTGTTGGCTCTTTAACACGTACGCATGGTTATATTCTTTTCCCAATCCCCGACCTGAAGGAATGATGCTGCTGCTGTTGATGATGATGTGGTGGTGGTGGTGGTGATGGTGTTATATGCAGTTCAGTATGAATGTGAGAATGTGAGAAGGATTAATGATGTTAGTGCAGATTAATTAGGTTCCATCTGGGTTTTTAACGAACCTTATCATATCCAGTGTTTCATAACACCTGGCCTTCACGTACTTATGGCGCATGACACGACATAATAATTAACCTGACACGTGCAGGTGTAAAAGTCATATGATTATGAATATATTACGCGGTAGGCATAAAGCCAGGAAAAATAACCTTTTATTCCATTCATTGAAATATTGTAAGTATGCCGGTACTTGGACGTCAGCACTAGCAGCAAGTCATTAATATTTAAATTACAACATTAAGTACAAAATGGTATCTTCAAAGAATTCCTGTATGCCTATAATAATCCGTGTCAAAAATCGCCTTGATTCTTTTATTCAATAAGGGTTTCAGGTTTTTTTTATTGAGTAATGGATTCTATATACTATATACGTACAGATACACAATACTTTAAATATACCGGTGACCTTGCATGTATGGATTGAGCACGTCTTTAGCCGAATCACAAAATCTTCCAACGTTTTGTGTGTGTGCATAGATCTATACCGAAGATGTATTACCAGGCGTATAAATTGTCTCTGCGTCACACTATATAATTATATACACCTGTCATATTTTTCTTTAACCGCTATAAATGCCAACAATCATCCTTATCAAACTGTACATTCAGTCCACTATCCGCTGAATGTAAAATTACTGCGATATTATAACTCATTCGAATACAATAATCCATATCGATTCTAAACTCAATGACCCGGCACATAATGTTAGAATGAAAAAATAAATAAAATATGTTTTGTGATATTCACACAACGTCAAGTTGAATTCCTGTATGTTAAATCTAGAGTCTAGACACGATGAGAAAAACATATGAATAATCAAATTTTCTTCAATGCCATAAAATCGATAAACCATGGCAGAAAATTGGCATTCAAATTAGGGTTTAGTCTATGACTGTTTGGATAAATATTTGAACAAAGGGGCATAACTGCGCCGAGAATTGTACAAATGAAGTACGGCGGGAACATGCAAGGTCAAAGGTCGATGTTCTTTTCACGACGGCATGACGAGGAAAAATGGCTGACCAGGCACAGTTCGAAGCTCTCTTGGAGAGTTTGATGAGTACGGATAATGACGTCAGGACACAATCAGAGGTAATAACAACAACGAAATACTCGATTCAGTTATCTTAAAACTTAGGATATTCTAGAACATTTTCCTCTGAAGAAATGAATATTTGCGGAACACGTGTTTCTGAACTTCCGCCATGTTTCATTCATTCACAGCTAAATTTGACTTTGTGATCATTCGCTGGTCAAATTCAAGTGAAAATTAAGTTTATTTGGGTGTCATGATATGTCATTGATTCATGAGAATGTATCATTTACAAATAAATCGAATGTTCATTCTTGTGACAGCGACCATACCAAGACGTTTCGGACAATTTTTTAGGTGCTCGCCCACACCAGTGTTATCTGTTAAAAGCACTGAGGCGATATACACTGAACGATACAGTACTTATCATTGTGTATGTGTTTAATTATTAGTATTTGTTAAAGTCTAAACACTGTATCTGGTAAAAAGTATCGACATGCATGTAACAAACATAACGTCGAGTTGTCATGTCCACCCCACCCCTCTCTCCTCTCTCTCCCTCCCCCCTCTCCCCGAACACCACTCAAACATCTGACAAACACATAGGTCCTATAACGGCCATCCTACTCTATAATAAATAAAAGGAATAACTACATAGGCCTATCTTTCTTAGTAAATCATGGTGATGGTGGCCCATTTGTTTTGAAAATCGTAATCTGAGGGAAAAAAATGAAGCCTTCATTTACTAACTGGGACACCATTATGACTCAATCTTGTGATACCAGACTTTCTAGTCAGACATTATACTGCTGATCATAAGCTTAAAAGGAAATTCACTCTAGCAGAGGCTAGTTAGGCAATTTTTGGCAATATTTACGATGCACATTCTTTGCATGAAGGTTTTGAAGATTTTGATCCTAAAATAAATTATGTCATTTCAAATTTTCTTCATTGATGCTTTATCTCAAAATCATTTCAGTATCTACCCGTAATCATTGTAATACTGAGGGTTGTACAAAGAAGTCAAGAACAAATCTAATATAATTCTAATTGAGAAATCGAACCAGGCAAGAGCAAGATATTTCAGGAAATTTAGATGTTGTAAACAAAAAAATAGCCGAAAGATAGTTCATTTCAATTAGGCAAAAGGACAAATATCTTGTGCTTAGGTAACCCTACCTACCCTATTCATTTTGTCTACCCTAAACACATTTTTTGCCAATTTTTTAGGAAGAAGTGTTTAAGTCAATCTCCACTAGATATAAACCATTTAAAACTATTTTTGAAAATAATGTTTCCCCATATATATATACCTTCCCTAAATATTTCAAACATGTTACGAGAAATGCACTTACTTTTTGGCTTGGCCCAATTAGAAAAATGTATTTGACTTTTAATAATTCTTAGAAAATTCTTTACTTCTTTGTCTATAACCTTTTTGCCAGCCACTGATTCTATTTGCCCCTGTAATATTCAAATTCCAGCAGCTTGACATGCTTCGATTGAAACAATATTGAATAAATTATTGCAAATTTGCAATATTGAAAATGGTGGCAATACTCGCCCCTGAAACTCTCATGAACATACTTGCCAATAACCTTTTTAAATTCCCAAAGGGGAGATTCTGCTTGCTCAAAATATAAAACAAATGCAAAGTATGTATTCAATAATAACAATATAATGCTAGGTAAATAATAACACTTTAGAATCACATATTTTGAGCTATTCTTTCCGATGAAATCATTAGATCTTATTTGGAATACAGAAATAGTTCAGCCAGTTTATTGCCTGAAGAGTGAAGATGATCAATTTTGGGGTCCAAAATCGGGAGTCTCCCTCCAAACTAAGGAGAGATGGCATGAATATCAATGATCTTGAGACTTTTTTGAATATTTCAGATTACTTGGTAATTATTCTTTCCTTGATTGCAGGAAAGTTATGACAAGATTCCACCAGCAACCAAGATACCTTTCTTAGTTCAGTCTATGAAAAACAGCAATGGATCTATTGAGGTATTTGTCAGTGCAAGAATCATGTAATTGCTTATTTGAATATATCGGATTTGTGAAGTATTTGTTTAATTGAATGATGATGACTTAACTGTAGCTATAGTGGTGGGCTGATGATTGATTATAATCGAAAATTGTTCAGTTTGCCCTTTCCGATTACAATTATCGATTACAATTTCCATAATTGATATCATCAGTTCATTATTAAAATAAAGGGTAAAATGTATACAATGTAAGGTATGCATTGAGAGTAATTCCTTCCTACAACATTTGCTATGATTGACAAAAGTGCATAAAGCTGCTTGAAATCCATTAATTATAAAAGAACGAAAACTAATGTAAAGTTTACAACATTCAGTCTATTGATGTAACAGTAGTGTTCTCACTTTATTTGGGTATCCAGTCCCGTGAAATTAGACCAATTATGCAATCAATATCAATTGGTTTGTTTACTACTTCTGGTTACAAACCAAATATCAATTACGATTTAAAAAAATTGTCTGTCACTATTTAGCTGTGTATATATGCATTATGTAAGTTGAAATAGCAGAGTTAAGAAAAAGTGTCCATGACGATGTATTTTCGCTTCATCATTTCTAATCATATATATAATATTTTTTCTAGACAAGAACAATGTCTGCAGTGCTACTGCGGCGTCAATTTTCCTGTAGTTTTGACGAGTGCTGGCCCAGTTTAGCAGATGAAATGAAAGCTTTGATTAAGGAACAAATGATGATTGCCATCAGGGAAGAGTTGACTCCCCCTGTCAGGCGGAAAATCTGTGATGCTACAGCGGAATTGGCTAGAAATATGATTGGTATTTACAATTGATTCTCTGTGCTTAAATTTTCAAATGATTTGTGAAAATATACACTAATTGTACATGGCCAAAAACTGTATTTGAGTACTACCTTGAGCAGATATTGCCTTATCGATTATAAGCCGATTCTAGGTTATAAAGTGTTATAAAGTTGGAAATATAAATGGAAAAGTTAATATCTATTCTACTTTTCCACATTTTGCTGTCATCGTGTTGCATCGGAAAAATTTAGAAAATCAAAAATAAATTTTAAGACATTTGAAAATTAAATCAGTTAGAAACACAAGGAGGTGGTTCATTGTCATTTTGCTTGTACCATACAAGCACTTTTACTGTGGGAGTACTGTATGAATGTTCAGAAATTGATTTCAGCTGAGTCTCATTGCAATGCAATACTCCTCCGATCTTATTCATTTGTTTTAGTTTGATGGTACAGTTATATGTAGAACTTTCAAAGAAAGCTATTTTCATATTCAGTTCGAAACAAAAGCCTCTTTTACAGGGATTAGGGTACAATAGAGCAACAGATCTCAAAAGTTGAAACAAAAGCCTCTTTTACAGGGATTGGGGTACAAGAGAGCAATGAATCTCAAAGTTGAAAACCAAGTTAAGTTTGAAAGACCAGAGTGCTGATACTGACTGTTTCATTGTGTTACAGATGATGACGAAAATGTGACGTGGCCAGAAATATTGAAATTTCTCTTTGAGTGTGCAAGTCACGAGGATTCTGGACTCCGAGAAAGTGCCTTGCATATTTTCACGTAAGCTTAACATATTACAGAGCATAGGGTATAAATAAAGGTTTTCCAATGGATGGTTGTTGATATCATACTTAGGTGTTTTTAAAAAAATACCGTTCATTTAATAGAGAATTCAATTTTTTATGCATTTATAGAAAGTTAGTTAAAACTATGATGTAACCAAAAAATCAAGTTAAAACTATAATGTAACCGAAAAATCAAGTATCACATATATGGATAATTTTGGTTAAAGCATTTCCTTTCAAACAGCAAGAAAATCATCCTTTAATATATCATGAATCAGCTTATTGACCAGTGGAAAAAGTGTCTTAATTATATAATCTTTACCTAGCTATCCTGAAGAAGCCAGTTTAACTGTGTTTATTTTTTTTTATTTAAAATACTCCAAAAAATGCAATACTATAGATCAAGAAACTATTATATATTTTACATGTTGAAGAGGTATTGTGAGTGAAGATTTTACTCCTAGGAACAGAAATAAGCACACAATTTCCTGGTGTATGTTACTATTATTGTAGAATTAAACTACATGTTAAGTAGTAAGAATGTATCCAGTGTATATCACTCTATGCTAAAGGTCATTCTACATGGACAGATCTTCTATGTTTTAGGAATGTTCCTGGTATTTTTGGCAACCAACAAACCCACTATCTGGATGTGATTAAGCAGATGTTGAATTCCAACTTGCACGATGCTGATCATCCACAAGTCCGATTTGAGGCAGTCAAGGCGACAACAGCATTTCTTGTGGCCAATGACAAACAACAGTCCATTCTTGCCCACTTCAGAGATCTATTACCTGCCATCTTACAGGTGATTAATATAGCTTTGACTTTCACTCCTTAGGCCAAACAAAAAATGTTTGGTGTTTCCTGTAACCCTACCTACCCTAATTTTCTGTGCCTACCATAAACTTTTTGAAGGCAATTTTCAAAGAAGCACTGTTAAAGTTAAGTTCACTCTCCTGTATAAACCATATGAAATTATTTGTTAAATTTAAATTTGTTACCTACCTACCCTGAATATTCCAACATGTTACAGGAAACACATATTTTTTTGTCTGGCCTTGTATAAATTAAAATTCACCATTTCCTGGAAAAAATAGGTTAACAGCATTATGGATAGATACATAAGAAACTACATATACACCTACACGGCATGCCTTGGTTTATTATGATCAAATTAATTGCCCTGCATAAGTTAACTTGTTTACCAAGCCACTAGTGAAACGAAACTTTAGACTGAAGATACTAGTAGTATTGGGCATATGGTTGGTCTTATGTAGGAAGTTGAATGAGGTCGCTTACTGTTAATTTCTCAGTTCTAATCAGATGATGGGACAGAAGAAATGAGTTTTCACATATACTTTACATTTTGGAGACGAGAGACCTAAAACAATCCTCCATGTGTTGAATATTGAATATTTAATTTTTCAGGCTATGGTTGACAGTGTCAATGCACAAGACGATGACAGCTTGCTGAAGTGTTTGATTGAGTTGGCAGAAACTGTCCCGAAATACCTACGCAGTCAGCTTGATAACATTATACCATTTTGTCTGAAGGTAAGGAATTTGTTCAAGTTTGATATGTAGCATTTTATAAGATAATTCTGATACATACTGTTTAGTATAACACTTGAAACCCTTTAACCAGTATCAATTGGAGGGCAAGTGGTGCCAGCAGCTGTGGAAATTACAGCTCCGATAGCGTATATTAAAGTTGTTGCAGTTAAAAAGCTCGTAATTGGATCTTGGGTCCATAGTACATCATTTTCAACTTTAAGAACAAAATATTTGGAAATTAAGAAGCAGCAAAGAAACAAAAGAAATTTACCATGAAAATTGATAAAGGTCACAAATTAAGGTCAAAGTTCAAACAGCATTTTGTCAGTTTGTGCCTTAACCTCTGTACAACATTGTACTGACATTGATAAATCTTTTTGTCACGTGTAATGTTGACTTGTTTCCAGATTGTGTCCGATGCCAACTTGGATGATTCATGGAGACAGTTGGGGATGGAGGCCATTGTGACCTTGTCAGAAACCGCCCCAGCTATGGTTCGGAAATTCAGCAAATTCATGTCCCTCCTTGGTATGTCACTGAAACTTAAACGATTACAAAATAAATTTAAGCAAAGAATTCAAACTCATATGTTACTTTAAGCTCCAATATACACTATATCAATGTATGACCAGGGATAATCCTGGAGGGGGCCATGAACCCTCAAAACTGAAATTGACCCCTCCATATTACAATTTTCTTTTTGATTTTACATAGAATGGCCTCTCTTAATTTTGATATTGACTATTTTTTAACTGTTCCTGAAAATCTGTCCGGATTCCTGTTTCATTATTAGAGAGCATCAAACACAAACATGGCAAACTTACTGACTTTTGCAGAGATGAACCTTATTTCTGTACCCCATATGCTTAAGTCAAATAAAGGGGAATTATTTGCAACAAAGAGGGCCATGTTGGTGGTTAGTATAGACTTTCAATGTTATCGAAGTTGTTAGCAGGGCCTACTATCACACATAACACACATGTGTAAGGCAACAGAACGTCTTGCATCATCAATACGGCGTGAATGACTCCATGTGTTCTGATAGAAATTGACAAGTTTTAAAATTTTATTTGGTTATCCTAATGATGATGGAATAGAACAGAAGGATTTTTGTTTGCTGTGACATCCTAAAAAAATCACCAGTCCATGGCTAGTACGCCTCTAAATTTCACTAGCCCAAGCTGAAAATCTGGTAGCCCCGGGTGTCAGGCTAGTGGATTTTTACACCCCTAAAATGATCATTAGTCAGAAAATATATTCAGGTCAATGAGCTACTGTATCCAGAACTTCAATTCTACATGAGTGTAATTTTTACAAAAATTAAAGTATTGTTTAGAAATAACTTCTATGAATCACTGTCCTAAAATTTGAATTTCACATCTCTTTGTAAAACTAATTAGTGGGTGCACAAAACAACATTGTTCGGTAGTTCATGTCCTGTATTACTAGTATCACTGTATTATTACAACACATGCTGCTTATTGATACCAGTGGTTCAAATAGTGCTCCATTTGGTATTACAGTTCCACAGATTCTGGCTTTGATGGTCGACCTAGAGGAAGAAACTGATTGGGCATTACAAGATGAACCTGAAGAGGAAGATACTGAAAGGTTTGTTTACTAAGTAGAATTTGTTCTCAATGGTTGTTTTTGCTTCTTAGTTTTAACATTTGGTTGGTACATGTATTATTTATGGTTCTGTTGACCTCTTTATTTCGACCTAGCGCTGTACTTCAGTTGTCTTCCATAATTTCCTTGTTCAAATATTTGTTGTTAATTAAAACTAAATCAAAATAAGAGACTGTTATTTGAAAAACTGATTAATGGGTAGCTTTACACCGCAGCTTTTTGACTTGCATCTGAATAACAATGACTGTATTTGTAACTTATTACAAAGTTAACTTTGTGACACAGTCTGTTGATATGAATATCTCTTTCATGCCTAGGGGTGTAGGATAGAGAAATTCAACCCTCAGGATTTTCAAATTTGGCAAACCCATCGGCTTTGGACAGCTCTATCTTGCACACAGGGAAATGAGAGAAATGTATTTTCATTTTGCCAAAATAAACGGAATGGTATTTTTTTTTAAATATATTTAATTATTGTTTTTTTTTTCAGTAATGCCATTTCAGCAGAGAGTGCTTTAGACCGCCTGGCTTGTGCCCTTGGAGGAAAGACAACTCTTCCCCACATCTTGGCCAACATTCCCCAGATGTTACAGAACAGTATGTCCTTTCGACACTTATGTCAGCTGTTTTAATCTGGGGAAACAATCGTGAAACTTCAGTTTGTCTAGACAGAATGATTATTTCTTTTGGAATCCTGTCAAAAGTTGGTTAATTAGTCAAAATTTACGAAAGAGCTATTCCATAATTAATTGTATGGGGAAGTGGGAGGCACCTGTGTTAATACATTATGGGTGATTGGGTTAAAACCAAATCTGCCTACCATTCCCGATATTAAATCACTTTTGATATTTGATGGACAGTGAGATCTCTGAAAAAGTGCCTCACATCCACCTCCATACAGTTATTTATGGAGCAACCCTTAACAATTTTGTGGACAAAGGAAAAATAAGCGACACTGATGTTCTTCCTGGTGCAAGTCATTTTAGAAAGGATAAACAAAATTAACATTTCGTTAAAATTTGCATGAATCATTACAAGCGTGATGGATGTTTTTGTAGTTATTTTATCCCCAGAAGGTCCAGTACTATCTGCCTGTGTACAGAGGCCTAAAAAAACGTGTGTTGTAGATTTTGTCACTCCTAATATAAAACCTATGTTAGATATGTGTTTTCTTTTCCTACCACCAGCTATTCAGTATTAAATAAATTAGAAAGTATGGAAATCAAAATAACAATCTAAACAATGTTGTTAAATCAGGTGTTGGAAGAATAATATTTTTATTGTTTCACACTTGCATTAACCCTTTCACCACTGTAGACCATAATGGACTCATCCAGATCAATGCAGGGTAGAGTCTACTATAGTTACATGGGGTGAAAGAGTTAATAAACTAACTTTGACATTGTAGATGACTGGCGCTACAGACATGCTGCCTTGATGGCTATATCAGCCTGTGGGGAGGGGTGTCACCAACAGATGGAGATTATGCTTGGCAATGTTGTGGAGGCCATCTTACCATTTCTGAAGGATCCGGTAAGTACCAGGTCCAACCTACAGAGAGAGGCGTCGAGACATAGTTGACCTTGTCTGTCTTTGGATGGGTCATTCATACATTACCCATTGTTATTTATTGAAAGGTGAAGACCAGCCTCCATGCATAGTGTGTCAAGAACCATTTACAGTAAACACTTGTAAGGCCTAAAATAAAATATTGTTTGTTTCACGTTTACCTACCTACCCACGAAAATATCCCCTACCCAAACAATTTTATTGACATTTCAAGAAAGATATCTTTTTTTTATATTTTCGTTAATTGTTAAAAAAAAAGTCTTACTTATACTACTGGTATTCTGTTCGAATTTTAAAATACTACTTACATATTCACTAAAAATTAAATTGAAAAATAGAATGATTTCCCTACCTACCTACCCATCATTTTATGATTTGAGTTGGTAAAACGGAAACGAGCAATAATTTAATGTAGGCCCAATTAGATTGCATCAACCTTCAGTAAACTCTGGAAAAGTTCTATAATAATGTTACATGTCATAAATTCTTTGTTGAAAAAATAACTGTCTCTTCAGTTTTAAATTTATATCTGAAAGCTGTTGGTCTTTTTAATAAAATTTGAATCAACATTGCCACTTCAATATTTCAGTTGATGTTTCTCTTTTACGTTTGATTGATGTTTTTATTTTGCATTTATTTTTGTTGACCATTTGTTGGCCCTAATGTCTTCTGTGTTGATCGGCCGTTAAGCATTCAAGAAGCATGGTAGTCATCATAAGTACGTTCTTATCAAGTTTGAACATGATTATTTTTATGACTTTGAAAAAGTTTTATCAAGCTGGGTTTTCATGGTTTATGTTAAAAAGTAACATCAAGCTGGGTTTTCATTGTTTATGTTAAAAAGTAACATCAAGCTGGGTTTTCATTGTTTATGTTAAATAAGTAACATCAAGCTGGGTTTTCATTGTTTATGTTAAAAAAGTAATATCAAGCTGGGTTTTCATTGTTTATGTTGTGTTGTTTCCAGCATCCACGTGTCCGTTATGCCGCCTGCAATGCCATAGGACAAATCTCTACAGATTTCGGTCCGATATTACAGAAAAAGTTTCATGAAAAGGTAAGGATTTGGACCTGTACAGATTACAGTTAGCCTTTATCTTTGTCAAATTATTTTTACCATGAAACTCAACTTTCATTTGGTTTGTTTTAAAATTGTAAGGAATAGGGGTAGCAATAAAGCATTTGGGATTTTCTGAAATATTTTTTTATTTTGTTTGAAGAAATGTAACTCCTAAGCAGAATAGAAAAAACAGCAACATTGAAGACAGTTTTCCAAATAAAAGATAATATAAATAAGAATTTGTTTCTCTTTGAAATCTTCTGGCTATTAATGACCTTAAAGTATCGATCACAAAATGTTTTCGAGAAGTGGAAGGTTTTGTATATCCTTCGTGTATACAAGCGATAAATATTCACTTCATCGTGTTTGGTTTTATTTTGTTTAACATCCTATTAACAGCTAAGGTTATTTATAGATATAAACTTCATTTATTTTACAACAATTATGAAACAAGTTTTTACAACTGGTATTTATCACTCTTGTTGGTCCGGGTGTTAGCGCGAGGGGGATCTGAAACCAGAGTACCTGGAGAAAACCCACGTGGTCGGGCAGGTGACCCCATACTTTTTCACATCCGATCGGGGAATCAAACCCTGGCCGCCTTGGTGAAAGACAGTGCGCTATCAACTACGGCACGCAGCCACCCAAAATAGGTCATTTAAGGATGTGCACTTTTCATGGAAATTAAAGGCACTAAAAATAATTTTCCTTAAAAACTGGGTGAGGCTTGGCTAATCCGCAAACACCTTGCTTTCAGGTTGTACCGTCACTGTTGATGGTGATGGACGACGACGCCAACCCCCGAGTACAGGCACATGGTGCAGCGGCCCTGGTGAACTTCAGTGAGGACTGCCCTAAAACCATCCTGGTACAGTACCTAGACGTTATCATACTCAAGCTGGAGCAAGTTCTTGTCAGCAAGTTCAAAGAGGTGGGTACCACTATTTAAATGGCATGCCATCCGCGATATCCAGGAGTTGTGCTCACTTTTGCTCTCTGCGTCCCTGGAATATGTCATAGCAAAATCGAAGGCTCTGTGTGCACAATTTGGTGGGCGAGACGAGAAGACTAGTTTGATACTTTGATGTACATCAAAAGAACCTCGCGGTTGCGTAACAGTAAAACTTACTGGCTTTGAAGTCGGGCGTCGCTCCTCTGTAATCTTCAAAGGACAAGTATCAGCCTAGCGATTGGTCAGGGGTTTTTTTCTGACACCAATCAAATACCTGGCTGCGTGCCTTCAATTTTGCTATGACATATTCCAGGGATGTAAATTTAAAGAGCGAAAGTTAGTGTAACCCCTGGAAATCGAGGATGATAGCATGCAAGTTCAAGGAAGTGGATATGTCAAAGTAATAATGAAATTTGCACAGGTAAAGCTTAAAGGACATAACATTGAAGAATATTTACATAAACAAAATCAACTTAAACTAGAGAGGAAAACCTCTAAATCTTTGGTAAATCTGATGTTATAAAAAAAAAACATTATGAAAAAAATTGGTATTGTTGATACAATTTATTGAAAATCAGTAGTCTTAGCTGATTTTATTCCAGTCTATTAAAATAAATATTGAACAGTCAGTTGATGAACTTGCCGACTTTTGGAGAGATGAATTATATTTCTGTACCCCATATGCTTAAGTCAAATAAAAAAGAATGATTTGCAACAAAAGGACCATTTTGGTAGTTAGTATAGACTGTCAAGGCTATCTAAGTTGTTAGCAGGGCCTACTATCACACATAGCACACGTGTGTAAGGCAACAGAACGTCTTACATCATCAATACGGCGTGAATGACTCCCATGTGTTCCGATAGATATTGTAGTGAAAATTACCATGGATTTACATGTTTAAAATAGTAATTGGTACACTCGTATGGTAGATTAGAACAGAAGCATTTTGTTAGTTATGACATTCTAAAAATGCCACTAGCTCCGGGCTAGAAAGCCTCCAAATAATTCACTAGCCCAAGCTGAAAATCGGGTAGCCCGGGCGTCGGGCTAGAGGTTGTTTTTTTTACACCCCTGCAAATGTATCGGCAAAAAGAAAAACTGAATTTAGGCTAACAGTGTGTTCCTTTTCCCATTCTAGTTGATGGAGAAGGGAACTAAGATGGTTCTGGAGCAGGTAGTCACGACGCTGGCGTCAGTGGCTGATACTGCAGAAGAAAAGTTTATACAGTATTATGACAGGTAAGACAAAGGATATTAAAGATTTGGTGTTTTTTTGTACAACCCTGTAACCCAGTAATATATAAGGTCAGAAAGGGCTTCACAGGATATTGATGGTCACTTGGTTGGTTTTGTTTCAGCAACTGATTTGTGAACTTATTAACCAATCCAGCAGCGTGAAGGTCGCATAAATGTCAAAATTATATCTAATTTGCGCATGTTCATGACTTATCAATGATTTGCTGCAAATCTTAATACAATAAAGTGAAACCTTGTTATGGTGCGACCATTTCTCTTGCAAAATTTTGGCATTATATTAAAAGAGATTTTAGGAAATACTGAAAGAACCATAACGGAGGTAAGATTAAAAGAAAAAGGACTTGGACATTTGCTTATATTCAGGTTGTTGGTGCTTTTAATAGATCAGTTATTGTATAAAAAAAAACCAGAAAGGGGAATGATGTTTACTGCAAAATTGAAGGTGAAGCTTGATGATAACACCTTATTGCTAGATAGTATCTGACCCCAGTCTTTATATGGACCTAGAAGACTGTATGTGTGCAACCAAGTGCATTTATAGTTCAGCAGTATAGTAAAAATCTCTTGTATACCAATTTCTCTTTTCATACCAAAATACCAGGGTAAGACACTGTTTTACTGGTAGTCCACAGGACTAGTTGAATAGATTGTTTGCTAGTGCTGTAACTAGTCCAAGGTATTTTAAAATAGACTGTAGAGGACATCAAGTAACTACTGCCATAAAGACATGGTGTAGATTTCCGAAAATGTTGAATGGTGTAGATTTCGGAAAATGTTGACAATTATTATCCAAAAGATTTGTATTTACCCTGGTAAGCACTTTTCCAAAAGGAATATCCTTATTCTGTAATCTGTCTATCAGATGATATTGTGATTTGTCAGATGTGTTTTGTGTAAGTCCATAGGACTAGTTAGGTTAGTTAATTCTCTTGTCGTTGTTAAAATTTACCTGTCACAGACTAGAGTACCATTGATAGTGCCGAACCCTGAAACACATATTAGTTAATTAGTCCCTCTCTGAGGGAAATAAGGGTTTGCACTGGATGGGGTGAAAAATTGACAAATTAATAGCGTCTTTTACTCTTGATTATAAATGAACTCCATTATGTTAACTTGCAAATATAACACAAGACTGTAAGAAAAAGTCTGGATATATAATTTATACTCTGAAACTTAAAACATCTTCAGTCATGGAAGGAGACTCGGGTTCACTTTCTCAATATTTGTAGTAAGTTTTAAATATAGTATTTTCATGTTTATAAAATATATTGAGAAAGGGGAGTGATGTAATATGCAAATATGAAGGTGTACACCCTAGTGATGACACTTCATTGCTAGATAGTATCTGACCCCAACATATTAATTGATCTGAAGAGTGCTGAAATCTTTCATTTGTCGACAAATACCTAGCTTGACCACACAAGCAGGGCTAGAAATTAATTTCCAAAACCACTTAATCATTCGGGGAAGTAGTTTCCAATTTTACTAGTCCATGTGCAAATTCTACGAACCCAATATCATTCAACATGCTAATTAATATCAAGTTATGACTAGTCAATTGGACTAGCAGTATTTCTTTGGGTCTGTGTTTTCCCATATAGTTTCGTGTACAAAATAAGACTAGTGAAGATACTTGTGTAGTATAATTGATATTGACTGGAAATGGGGAGTGATGTAATTTGCAAATATGAAGGTCTATCTTAATGATGACTCCTTATTGCTAGATAGTATCTGACCCCAAGATTCAAGTCAGCTCAACACTTACTCAGTCCAGCTGCAGGAGATCAGTATAAAAATATCAAAATGCAAAACAAAAATTCCCTTAATTTGTTTAAAGCTAGGTGAAAGGATCTACTCCCCAATTGTAAAATAAGGGATATAAAATTTACAAAAAATACATTTGTATTACACCGGTATATATTCTCAAATACTTCCCGTGAGTATATATTTTTACAACTGAATACTTGGGCACCTGACTTGGTTACCAGTAATTTACTTTGTTCTGGGACTAGAGTAGAGCAGTTTTATCTAAGTGGATATTTTGACTTGATCATTTGGTCTTTATCAGCTATTATAAAGTAATATTCATTCGTGGCTGTGATCTACTGGTCACAACATCAGTGATTGCTTTGGAGAATTACAGTTTTTCCGTGGTCCCATTCACGTAGAAATGTGCATGCTAAATATATCACATAGATTTTTACTACCTTGCATGACCTGCATGTGCTGAAATTTCTGTCTGGTATAAAAAGAACTTTTCATTCAGCTGCGACAAAATGTAATTTACAAAAGATGAGAAACAAGTCAAAAGTTTAAACAAATTATACATATTGAATGTTAAGTTTGTTTTTAGATTAAGTTGTACATAATTTATGACAACAAAAATCTGTACCCCGAAATAAATACCTGTACACAAACCTTCTGGTGTACGGAATAAGACTATTAAAAGTACTTGTAAAGTTCAGTTGATATTGATTAAAAATGGGGAATGATGTAATTTGCAAATATGAAGGTGTATCTTAATGATGACATCTTATTGCTAGATAGTATCTGACCCCAAGATTCAAGTCAACTCAACGTTTAAACTCAGTTTAGCTTCAGGTGATTTGTTACAAAAATAGCGAAGGGAAAAACAAAAAGATAAGCATAGCAATAATGCAACTTAAATTTTCTAAACTTTAAGATTACATCAAGTTTAATGCTGGGTCTGAATGGATATTTTGACATGATCATTTGGTCTTTATCAGTTATTATAAAGTAATATTCATTCTTGGCTGTAATCTACTGGTCACAACATCAGTGATCAATTACTTTGGAGAGGAGCACAGTTTTTGCGTGGTCCCATTCACGTAGAAATGTGCATGATTTATACATATATTCTAAAAAAAATCACATAGATTTTGACTACCTTATGTGATCTGCATGCGCTGAAATTTGTGTCTTGTACAAAAATTATTATCAAAATAATTTTTCATTCAATCGCGACAAAATGTAATTTACAAAAGAGGAGAAACAAGTCAAAAGTAAAAACTGAAAGTTTTGAGATTTTTCAATTTTCTTGGTAGGTAGTCTTGGTCATCGAAACGCTTTAAGATAGAAATCATTAGTATCCTAACTTACCAGGATGGATTTTGCTGNGAAACCCCCCCCAGGAAATTTGGAAACCCCCCGCCAGATAGGTCTCTGGATCCGCCACTGAAATGGGGAGTGATGTAATATGCAAATATGAAGGTGTATCTTCATGATGACATCTTATTGCTAGATAGTATCTGACCCCAAGATTCAAATTAACTCAACATTAAACTCAATTTAGCTCCAGGTGATTCGTTATAAAAATAGGCAAATGTAAAACAAAAAGATAAGCATAGCAATCAATATATATGCAACTTAAATTTCCTGAACTTCAGGATTACATCAAGATTGAAGCTCGATCAAAAGTTCTACTTCCTAATTTGTTAAATATGGGGTATAGAATTTACAAAAAATATGTTATTATTCACAATTACTTTGATACCCAAGACTATTTATAACAACTAAATATTTGGATACCTGACTCTGATATTTCAAGTTCAACATTCCAATGCTAGCTATATGATCTACTGGTCACTACATCAGCTCCGAGTGATTGCTTTAGAGGAGCACTTTCAGTGTTCCCATTCATGTAGAAATGTGCATGATTTACTGGTGTACCCCCATTTTGTAAACCTTGGGGATGCCCAAAACCTCATAAAAAATGAGTGGAAACCTGATATTAAGAAGAAAGTAGTAAAGCCATTGAAATTGAGAGGCCACATAGGATAAAAAAATAGTGTTGCTCTAGTCAGAGAACAAAAGTCGAGTTAAATTTACTTATTGTTATGTTGAAGTTTGAATTTGTTGTTAAAGTGGCCAGTTGTTTTCTCAACAGATTTATGCCGTCATTGAAATACATTGTACAGCAGGCGATCCAGCCCGAGCTGCGGCTACTACGAGGGAAGACCATCGAGTGTATCAGTTTGATAGGACTGGCTGTAGGCAAAGACAAGGTAAGAATATCAAGTCTGGCTGACATTGGAAGTGTTTTATAAGAAATTGTTAGAACCAGTGCATTACAATTTACAGTTGAGTCTGTATTAAGCGACCACCCAAGGGGAGTTTAAAAACAGATTGTTAAATAAAAGTGGTTGTTTAATGGTTAATAAAGTACATTCTCCATAATCACTTTTGTTATACAGCATATGGTTTAAACTATAGAGATGATTTTCTCATTCAGCTTGTTGGTCACATCAATTTCCTTCTAAGACAATTTAGTTACAAAAGATCATTTAGGAACAAAAGATTGTTTTTTTTTATGTACAGTACAACACATAGCCATGTACTGTTACGGTAAGAGTTTCCCCTAACCCCATAGAAGGATTGTTTACCCCCAAACATTTGGCTGTATAGCCATTTTTCAAAGGGCATCTTATATAACTAAATACCTGTGATACAGAATCTAGAAAAAAATATTAGATATACCCTCAGATCTGAAATCTATTGGGGAACACGGCTAATGTTAATGTTAATCTAATGTCTGTTGTCTTTGTTGTAGTTCCTTCAAGACTGTTCTGAGGTGATGCAGCTGTTACTGAAATCTCAGACAGATCAACAGGACCTGGCGGATGATGACCCGCAGGTATATAGTGTTGACTCGATGAGAGCAACACTTTATTTCCTATTGTACTTAAATTTTGTGAAATGTTTTATGGTTCTTTAATAATGATAATGATACTGGACGCAGGCAGTGTGCCTATATATCCAGATCAACTATGCTGACATCCCGACGACAGATATGTTCATTATTGTCATGTTGAAGATTATGAATACTTTTTTTTAAATGACCATAGCTGTTGATAGGACGTTAAACAATGCTAAACCAAACCAAACCAAACGTTTGTCCCCAGTACTTATCTAAGTACTTATCTAGCCAAGCTTCAAAAGTTAAGTTGGTACATACGCATTGCATCTATGTTTCTGAAACAAATTCACTTTTTTCCTTTCTGAGCTAATACATGCCTCCATACAAGTTGTCTTCGCCGATCAAGTTTTCATAAGAAAGCTTTTCTGAACTTTTTGTATAAAATTTGCTTTGCTGTCAACCATAACTGTTCTGCAAGTATTGAAAACCCACTTTTGATTTCAGATTTCTTACATGATTTCTGCTTGGGCAAGAATGTGCAAAATTTTGGGTAAAGAATTTCAACAGTATCTGCCTCTTGTCATTGGTCCTGTTCTCAAAGCTGCTTCCTTAAAGCCAGAGGTTGCACTACTGGAAAGTAAGTTGGTACACACACATTGCATTAATTGTAATCAGAATAAACTGTGACTTTCCTTTCTTAATAATTGAAATGAAAATAAATTCTGCATTTTAAAATTAATGTCCTTGATATATTTACTAAATAGAAAAGGAATTTGAGAAACTTGTATAAAAAGTCTATAGTAGATTCTTTTTTTGGCAGGTGAAGAGATGAAAGAAATGTACAGTGATCAAGATTGGCAATTTGTCACTGTTGGAGACCAGGTGAGAACTGATTTTAAGGTTGCACAGGTATACAAAATAGTTAACCCTTTCATTCCTATACATCTTGAGTAGACTCTCACATACATTGATCTGGATAAGTCCATTATAGTCTTTAGTGGTGAAAGGGTTAAAGTATCTATTGTATGTTTGTAGTATTAAAATAACAGTCGAATCAGCTTGAGACCACCCTTACTAGGTCACCTCTCATTACAGACCACCCTTACTAGGCCACCTCTCATTACAGACCACCCTTACTAGGCCACCTCTCATTACAGACCACCCTTACTAGGTCACCTCTCATTACAGACCACCCTGTTTTCAACCCCACAAAGCAGTATATTTTGTGTTGGTACTATATTAACAGACCATCTCTGATGAGCTTGCTATTAGCCAGCCACCCGCCCACCTGTCTTTTTGACAGGCAGTTTTCTGAAAGGGACCTATTTTGAGAGGCAATTTTCCACTGTATAACCTTACTATTGTATATCAATCATGACAGGCAGTTTTGTAAAATTAGTTACAATAGTAACGTTTTGGACAGGGACATTTGAAATTCTGCCTAAAAGCCTGCTGATGAGAGACCACTTTTGGCCTTTCCTTTGGTTGATCTCATAATGATATAGTTAAGTGTCCCCTTAATGACCGGCAGATACCACTAGCAAAACTGTCACATACCGTTTGCAGTCACATGTCTTGGATCAATCTAGGTTTTAGGGGGATCTACCCTTTTTCAGAATTGAATATCACATCCGGGGAGGAGGGGGGGGGGGGGGGGGGGGGGGGGAAGGAGTGGGGTAAAAGTTGGTTGTTGAGGCTACTACAGAACTGGTCGACCGTAGTTGCGCTGATGGAGGATTCTTTTAGAGCGTTCCAATCGGTTAGTGTACGTGGGTAGAAGGATTGACTGTAGTTTTCAGTGTTGCACGATATCTGTTGTAGTTTCTGACGGTTGTTTCGTCGTGTGTTGGTACGGCTGACTGTGATGTAGTCGTCAGCGGGTATGGCTACTAGCCCATTGATGATCTTAAACAACAGTACTAGTCTGTCTTCAAATTCCCGCCCCAATACTTGCTTTAGAAGGGGAAAATAAACATGTATCTGTATTTTCAGCAAAGCTTTGGGATCCGCACAGCAGGACTTGAGGAAAAAGCCACTGCTTGCCAGATGTTAGTATGTTACGCTCGCGAGCTAAAGGAAGCCTTCGCTGAGTATGCCGAACAAGTTGTCAAAATTATGGTGCCTCTTCTTAAATTTTATTTTCACGATGGTAAGTTTGACCAAACTTTTATTTACATAAATTCAACAAAAGGTTTAGGTAGTTCAGACAAGAATTACTTGTTAGAGTTATGAGTGGTTATGTCATATTGTAATCAGTATCTACCTATCATGTATGTGTAGTGGAAATATTATTCTAATAGTTTGCACTTAAACGCTTGAATCTCAGTGGGAAATATTAATACTGTAACCCAGTTTAAATTATTGTTGTAAAATGAAAGCCTTAAGTTGAGCAGCAAATTGTCACTGAGGCCAGACAAAAACTATTTGGTGTTTCCGGTAACCCTACCTACCCTAATTGTTTGTACCTACCCTAAACTTTTGAAGGCAATTTTCAAAGAAGTACTGTTAAAGTCAAGATCACACTTCTATATAAACCATGTAACAGGAAATGAATTTACTTTTTGTCTGGCCTGATTAGACAGAGGTGTTAGCACTGGTGATGTAACAGAAACTCAGTGTCATTGTAGCATGATATTAAATTGTGCATTATTCTTTTTAAAAACCTCAAATATTTGTTGTACAGATATACGGATAGCAGCGTCAGAAAGCCTGCCATTTCTAATAGACTGTGCTAAGATTCGTGGGGAACAGTACGTAGCAGAGATGTGGCAATACATCTGTCCACACTTACTGAAGGCCATAGAGATTGAACCTGAGCAATCTGTACTACCAGAACACATGAACTCACTGGCAAAGGTAACAACAAAACCTCAAATCGGGGCTATAGAAGTCTCGCCCTCGATACTCCAGGGATTACGCTCACTTTTGCTCTCTTTACCCCTGGAGTATGTCATAGCAAAATTGAAGGCACACAGTTAGCTAATTGATTGGTCTCAGGTAAAAAAAAAACTGATCAAAATCGCTAGACTGACACCTGTCATTTAAGATCACAGAGGAGCAGCCCCCGACTTCAGAGCCAGTCAATTTTACTGTTACGCAACCCGACAAATTCTTCTGATGTACATCATATTCCAGGGGTGCAAAGAGCGAAAGAGAGTCTAACTCCTGGAGTATCGAGGATGTTGAAGACTACACATGATCAAAGATCATACACTGAATGTGTTTTAAAGGTTTCATTTACTTTCAACTTTTAAACTCTTGCTCTGAGCTCATTCTCTGGTTGATTTTATCTACATTAAAGAAAAATTGGAAAAAAGAAATGTGTATTCAAGAGGCAGGTCTAACAAAAGTGATTCACCCTTTGTGCTGATGGAAACAGTGTCATGTATTTAGATGTTTTTATCTGCAAATAATCACAACAATCCTCCCTGCAATATTGTCAGTCACTTATTTTGTGGAAATGTCTGCCTCTTAATTTGCAAGGAAAGTAAATGACACATTCCGTTGATTCTGGCACATTTAAACAAGTATTGATCAAGCGTTATTTACTTGCTTCATTGAAACATTGTGAAAATAATCTATTAGATAAACTAAAATCTTAACAGTTACTAATTAACACAATGATTATGTTTTATTATTTCAGTGCATAGAAAAACTAGGAAAAGGCTGTTTAACAATGGAGAACCTTAACTTATTGACACAACTTGTAGATAAACAGTTACAAGAACACTTTAAGAAACAAGATGAGCGACAAGGTGAGATTAAACACAATTCCTCTGGTCCTGTACTCATGAAACTGCTCAAACCAAATCTCTTTTAACTCGCTAAAATCATGTCAAACGATCAAGAAGTAAATGTAAACATTGAAAACAGTATTTTGCTTCAAGTCTCTTAATTCTTTCCCCAATCATTGACAGAATAAAGATTTTATTATTAATTTATAAACAAACAAAAACAAATTAGACTTGAGCACAAAATCCATGCTTCAGTCTGTATTTAATTAAGGTCTGAAACTCATAATTCCATGGCTAATGTAATATGGTCTTGAAACTCTCTCAATCCATCAAAAAAAACGAAAAAGAAGGGAATTTATAATCATTCCCAAAGCAGGTTTATTGACCAGAAAATTATCTGATGAAAAAACTTTCTTTAATATTTTCTTAATTAAAATACTAAAACTTTACAAGTATACAGTTGAAACTGTAGGAAATAATGGAAAATGTGAAAAGCAGGTTGCGTTAATGAACAAAACTTATCATGAATTATAAAAATGATTACAATAGTTTCTGACTTCAAACAGGTGCTCTTAATGGCTGTTGTACCTAATAGTAATACTAGATACAGATAATATGGACCTATGATATTTCTTTAAAATTTAAATTTAAATTGTTTATACTTAATTTTACCAGTTAAAAGAGTGGATGAAGATTATGATGAAGATGTGGAAGATGAACTTATGGATGAGGTTTGTGTTTGATAATACCATGATTTTGGTGGGTTCAGCTCCCTTGACCTTGAATGTCCTAATTCTCCTGAAGTACAACGTCGATTTCAATGAAATATTTAGTCTTGATCACTATGAAATATAGTTGTTAATTATGTAGTTTCAGAAAAGTTCATGCAGCACAATCGAAATGTCACCGGGTGTATGAACACACCTGCTTGATTTCATTGAGATTCTTTTGACATCTGCTAGGATTAATCAGTATTGTAGTTATGTAGTTTTATCACATAATGTATTGTGTTATCCAGTGAATATACCCATGTAATATGACCCATCGGCTGTTTGATTGGTTGTAAGTTTTAATTGTTTCGTCACAGACTTGCTCACTGGAGTCAAAATGGCGGCTTTTTACATTTTAACATTGTATGAAAATTGTTGTTTTACACGAATAAATGCCACAAATTTATGAAACTCGTCACAAATTTACATTTTAGCTCGCCAGAGGCTAAATTGAAAAATTCTTAGACTCGTGTCATAATCTCATATGAAATGCAAACTCATGTAAGATCCTATATATATGTCGTATTTGGCAAAAAGCTGCCATGTTTTTCAGGAAAAGCATACATACATATGGATGAGCAGGGAATATGTTTGCCTGTGTTAATTAATTAGTAACTGTTAAGATTTTAGTTTATCTAGATTTAGTTTGCCATTCTTGTTCTGTATGTGTTCAATGGTTTTGTTTCTATAGGACGATGAAGATGTGTACATCCTCAGTAAAATTGCTGATATCATTCATGCCCTGTTTGGCACACATAAGGAGGAGTTTCTGCCCATCTTTGAACAGCTCATGGGCTACTTTGTCCGGTTACTGGTAAGTAGTGTGCATAGATTTCACAGCTTTTTGGGAAAAGTCAAACTATTGTCCCCGGGGCTGCGAAAGATGTGCAAGAACCGTTGGTCTTAGCCGATTTCGAAAAATATGTGATATATGCTTAATGTGATTCATTGATTGTTTGCCAGAAACATGTCGATCTGTTAATGTAATTGCATACTTGCCCATTTCTTTGCTTTGAATATGATCACAATTAAATCTGTTAAATATTATAAGTACCGGTGCAGTACTATTTTAGTCCTCCGGTGACTACTATTCTATAATAGTATAGACCTTTAATCTGAATTTGTTTGATAGTTTGAAGTGGTAAAACACCACTACTACATGTTTTGTGTTACAGGGAGCAGAGCGGCCGTGGCCAGACAAACAGTGGGGATTGTGCATCTGGGATGATGTCGTGGAACATTGTGGTCCGGTAAGCATACAGTATGAGGTTTAAAAATATGTTCTAGCATCCGATATCAGCCTGTCATCATTATAATAAGCTGTAGATGTTTATATTTTTCTTAACCCTACATTTGTATGTATTATATTTGCATGCAAAAAGGGGCTTATATACTTTAGTGTACTGGATACACAGTTTGTAAAATTCAGCAGATTTGATTTACAGACATTAACACAAGGTTGTTGAAGTTGGAATTCAGTTCTTACATCATCAGAAATTGATAAAAAATAGATGTTACATGGGAGAAATTGTATTGAAGTTATTCTGTATGATTTGTTGTTGATATTTAATGAATTATGTTTTTATCCCCAGCACTCTGTGAAGTACCAGGAATATTTCCTACAGAGTATGATGACGTACCTCACTGAGAAGAGTGCTGAGGTTCGCCAGGCTGCTGCATATGGTGTTGGCGTCATGGCACAGTTTGGAGGGGATGTGTATGCACAAGCGTGTGCAGGTAAATTGAATGAAAATGGAGTTACCTCCCTTCTGTCTACAGGCCTGAAATAGACCAAAGTTAATAGGGTTGATTGATACATTGAACTATAGTCATTTCTAATGTTTTAATAACATATTTAGGTGCACGCCATTAGCCAAATTACTACTTTTTATCTTTAAAAACAATAATTTTTAACTGAAAAGAAATTGCCAAGAAATTCAGATTGGTTTAGAGAGTACTTATGTTGAGAAGTTTCACCGCTTGTTTTCTATGTAGGAACTGGTTTATACGTTACCAAATCAATAGAAAAATTAAACAAGGATATGAAATCGTAGAATGGTTATGTTCTTACTTCATGTAATAAAATCAATATTTTCGTAAATTTGTTATTATGTATCATTTGTAGAAGCCATACCTCTACTACTGAAGATGATACAGGATCCAGAATCTCGTGCTGTGGAGAACGTTAACCCCACAGAAAATGCAATTTCAGCTGTCACAAAAATTTGCAAATACAATTCGTCCAGAATCAATTTAAATGAGATATTAGGGGCGTGGATTACCTGGTTACCTGTTTGGGAAGATGAAGATGAGGCTGCCCACATATACGGCTACCTTTGTGATCTGATAGAAATGTAAGACTTCACAAACCTCATTTCAAGATGAGACCTTAAGATCAATTTGCCCATAGTTGTACAGTTTAACTCCTTCACCCCCGAAAACACATTTGGACTCTTACAATTCAAAGCTTGGAAAAGTTCATTATGAAATTTCAGGGGTGAATGAGTTAATACTGGTGTCTGGAATATGACAATTTTCTCATGTTTATTGCAAAAAGCTGCATATAAGAAAGTCCTGTAAATGCTGATAAAATTTCAGGTAACAGTTTCACTGTATTGTCTTTTGAGAACAGTTTATGTGTCATCCTTCAGCTGACAGATAGTGTAGTATCACCTTGTCTGTCTTGTCAACATTATCATTTGCACTTCGTAACAGCTCTATTTCTAATCACATCTTCGCCAAACTTGATGAAATTGTAGTACCTACTTGGATTATTAAAAGAGGAAAATGCCTTTTCTTGTAAAAACTTATTTCTGGTGTCTTCAATAATATTCAACAGTTTGGAAATGGGTAAAAGCTAAGGTTTACGTTATACACAATGTTGTAACGTCTTGAAAGGTTGCATCACGTTTAATACATATATTATTGTCTATAAAGTAAAACTTTGATATTACCTATTTCGGGTTTTCTATCAAAAGACAGGGGCCCACTTGTATAAAACATCTCAACTCTTGAGATTTCCTCAAGTCTAAGATTTCCCATAGACAATACATTGCTTGAGATTTTCCTTATGATGTTTTATACAAGTGGGCCAGGGTTAGTCAAGGTTGGTTACTTCAGCCTGATTGGCTGAAGATTACCCGTCCATAGTTCCTACTATTTTTAACCTCACAAGGCTGTGAAGTATTTTGCAAGAGTAAAACACATAAGGTCATTTGCTCCAAGGTCAAGATCATTAAAGGTTTAACGATACTCTGCAAAATTTACTTGATATATTGTGCTTCATTTCAATACAAACAGGCTGAAAATTACTTTTAACACAATTTTTTGATTTTTTTTTGAAATTTATCATAATCAGCTTTAATAAATAGTAGTAAGAAATGACTTTTGAAATTGATAATTTAAACATCATACAGCAAATTTGTCTTCATAAAAGAACATATTCTGTCCCAACAGAAACCATCCTGTTATTCTGGGGGAGAACAACAAGAATCTACCACAGATTGTGTGTATCATCGGTGAGGCACTACACAAAGAAGCGGTGTCATCAGAAGAGGACGTCTTCCAGAGACTTCTGAACATCGTCCGACAAGTACAGGTATGTGTCTGAATGTCTTGTACAAGCGACAAGTACAGGTATGTGTCTGAATGTCTTGTGCAAGCGACAAGTACAGATGTGTCTGGTGTGTGCGACAAGTACAGGTATGTGTCTGAATGTCTTGTGCAAGCGACAAGTACAGATGTGTCTGGTGTGTGTGACAAGTACAGGTATGTGTCTGAATGTCTTGTGCAAGCGACAAGTACAGATGTGTCTGGTGTGTGCGACAAGTACAGGTATGTGTCTGAATGTCTTGTGCAAGCGACAAGTACAGATGTGTCTGGTGTGTGTGACAAGTACAGGTATGTGTCTGAATGTCTTGTGCAAGCGACAAGTACAGATGTGTCTGGTGTGTGCGACAAGTACAGGTATGTGTCTGAATGTCTTGTGCAAGCGACAAGTACAGATGTGTCTGGTGTGTGCGACAAGTACAGGTATGTGTCTGAATGTCTTGTGCAAGCGACAAGTACAGATGTGTCTGGTGTGTGCGACAAGTACAGGTATGTGTCTGAATGTCTTGTGCAAGCGACAAGTACAGATGTGTCTGGTGTGTGTGACAAGTACAGGTATGTGTCTGAATGTCTTGTGCAAGCGACAAGTACAGATGTGTCTGGTGTGTGTGACAAGTACAGGTATGTGTCTGAATGTCTTGTGCAAGCGACAAGTACAGATGTGTCTGGTGTGTGTGACAAGTACAGGTATGTGTCCGAAGGTCTTGTGCAAGCGACAAGTACAGATGTGTCTGGTGTGTGCGACAAGTACAGGTATGTGTCTGAATGTCTTGTGCAAGCGACAAGTACAGATGTGTCTGGTGTGTGTGACAAGTACAGGGATGTGTCCGAAGGTCTTGTGCAAGCGACAAGTACAGATGTGTCTGGTGTGTGTGACCAGTACAGGTATGTGTCTGAATGTCTTGTGCAAGCGACAAGTACAGATGTGTCTGGTGTGTGTGACCAGTACAGGTATGTGTCTGAATGCCTTGTACAAGTGACAAGTACAGATGTGTCTGGTGTGTGCGACAAGTATGGGTAGTGTCTTATTATTTTGTGTGCGAGACAAGTGTCTTAATGTAATGCATGCAACAAGTATAGGTATGTGTTTCGTGCAATGTACAAGTACCATATGAGTATAAATAACAACTGTGTCTCAAAAGGGTTGTACAGTCGCAGAATAACTAGATGATTCTCAAAAATTTGCCTAGAAGATGGATGCTTAAAGGCTGTTCCAGAATTTACTGTATGGAAGGGATGGTAGGCACTTTTCCAGAGGCCCACACAGTTTAAATGTCATAACTTCTCTATACTACACTAAAACTGAATATGATAGTTTGCCCTGGAGTTACTACACCTTGAAGCATCCATTTGCAAAACCTTTTAGTGATTTTTTCAGAGTTAAGTTATGATTCTATTTCTGGTTTCTTTGAAACTTTAAAAGAATGATACAGTACTTTTCTCATTCATGGAACAATGTTTTATTTGAAATATTACTCGTAAACAAAAGTGTGTTATTTTTATTTCTTTGCTTTTTAGAGGGCATTAATAGATTTTCTAGAAATAACTCAAAATATGTGTAAAGAAAAATGAGTTGTTGCAGACTTCCTTACAAGCCTTACTATTTATTAATGGTGAAAGTGTTGTAGAACCTTACTGTAAGGATGTCTGTCAGTTGTTCTAATATTCAATTCTTACAAAATATACCTTGAATATTTTTATGTTCAAGTCCTGTTAAACCTGTATAGTGGTACTTAATTGTATGATGTCTCTATAATTTCAGAGTAACCCAGAACTGTTCCAGGTGTGTGTTCAGCTCTTAACACAAGACCAGCAGCAAGCCCTATCGGAGGCCCTCACTGCTGCCCAGAGCTGAGGAACATCTTTGCCTTTATGGACCTATTAAACCAGTAGTGTACATCACTAATGCTAACGCCAAACCTGCGATTCTGATGTCCACAATTTCGGGCTCACCCCCAATTTCTTCATGTCTTGGCAGATTTGACAGCGTTTTGGGGGTGCTTTCTTGGAGTAGTTGCTGTTATAGGCAACTCTGCTTACTGCATAATTCAAATTTTAACTCCCATTTAGGATTTTCGGCAAACACTTGTTTCACAGATTTTTAAATGAGGAGTTTATGTGCAGTGTTCACAGACCGTGACCAAGTGTTGCCACGTATGGAAAGCCTGTGTGAAGGGAACTTGGTGGCAGAGTTGTAGGATCTTCTGTATACTTCGTATGCTGAGGGTGCGGTGAAGCAATGTTTACCAACTTTTGCTGGAGGATTTTGTGTGATATCTGCTGCATACAGAAAGTGGACGCAAAATTATATTTATGTGTTGTGGCTCCTTGCGTTTTTCGTGCCAGGTCAGGTCGTCCGACCTATTTTTTGCTAGGATTATATCCACGGGACATAAACATTTATGTGATATCCGGTTACCGTAAAAATGATAAAAGGGCATCAATTTGGGGATGGTTATTAATGTATCCATTCAAGGGAGTTAATCCACGGTTATAATCCCTGACATTCATAAACATTATTTCTCCCATAACACAAAATTGAAATAAAGACAATGTGATGACATGCTTCCTGCTGCTGTTTTACTCAGAAATAATAATAAAAAATGTGAACCATTAACTTGGAGTGATGAAATTAAACAAACAGTCAGTATTAGAGAAATACCGACAGTACTCTAGGGATATTTGGAGGTAAAGACATTATGATGTCTTAGATATGAAGTAAAGGAAGCATCTTCTTCAGGACGTTTTTATTCCAAGATCGGTCTTTCAACAGTAGTGCTCACCTTTATTTGAGGTATCTTTCGTATGATTCGGTGAATTAAGTGTGCACATTTCTGTGACCATTGCTGCTTCGGTCCACAGCCAAGCCCTGTCAGTGTTGAAAAGTATAGCTGCAGAGTGAAGTTTCGTAGCAAGTTGGAGTGCATGACAAGTTCAGAGTGTTCCTACTAGCCATAGTCTTGAAATTGCTGGTGATTCCTATTATAAACTCTGTTTGTGTAGCTCCTTTGTGTAATCATTCTCAAAATTGAGAAAATGAGATATTTTTCTTTTATCCATAAAATACAAGGATATCCTATATTGTTAACTGTGGCTGATTGTACAGACTTTGTTTTGTGTCCTGTTTTACCGGATTGTTTTGTTACCTGATTTGTGGATTGTGTTAATATTGTTATTAGATATTACGTTAATGTCTGCATGTTTATACTATCCGTACTCGAAAGCAAGTGATGTATACATAGTACCTTATAAAATTATGGGATCATGGTTACGAGTTCAAAGTTTGGTTAACTAGTAATAACTTGCGATGGTATCGACACTATTTTCTTTCATATTTACTGCCGAATTTGGGAGTATTATCTTTTCATTTTAATTGGATCCAGAGTTATAGAATCACTCCAATTTGATGATCTTTTTGATGATAACAGTAATTTATCCTCATAAGATTCTACATAAGGAGGACAACCCCGAATATTCATATGTACACAATAAAAAATACACCAAAGGTGGCAAGACATGGTTGTACAATTCCTCAAACTCAACTCTCGCAGCTGGTAAATTTGCGTCAGCAGCTAGTAAAAACAGCAAGTAAAATTTTTGCTGACATATGTTGATATACTAGCAGCAAAGAGGTCTTCGTGTCTTTCAGTGATTCAAATTATGACCAGTATATGGTCATGATCAGATATGGGACTTTGAGAGGTTGATGGATATGATTTGTATACCCCTGCAAGTTGATTTCTACAGAATACAATTGTCAAGATTGAAATGCTTTTAACCCTTTCACCATTGTAGACCATAATGGACTTATCTAGAGCAATGCATGGTAGAGTCTACTAATGTTACATAGGGGTGAAATGCTTTTAAAGTATCCCTGAATGTTTGATGCATACTATCAGGAATCACTTCTACAAATTATTATGTTTGAAATCGTGTGTGTGTGTGTGTATACCGCAACTAAAATTATTTATTGCTGTTATGTACCTTCCTATCTGACTTTTATGAAGTCGAAAGGTATTTTTCTTTTCATTTATGTTTTTGCTCTCTATCAAAGGCCAACTAGTCTGTTTTTTTTCTGTAAAAATGCAGTAAGGGTATTATTTACTTGAAAAATAATCAGAATATCTTTTTAAATGATTGTCATTCTAGGTCTGCTAAATCGTGATTAAATTGTGTCTTCAAATCCATTTTGAATGCTGTGTTCTTTACTGGGTTGTTCCCCTGGTAACAACAACAGTGTCTGCTTACTGTCATAAGTGGAAAATCTAATAAATTTAGCAATGAATTCATTTCTTGGTGAAAGATCATGAAATTTTTTGTAAGGTTTAGCAAAAAAACAATTTAAAGGCATTATGAACTCTTGGTTTCAGTATAATCTATTACCTGTTCACAAACGCTACTGATTTACCTTACATGAGGAAAATTGGGAGGAATCAGGTTTTGGCTGTATTTCCCATATATCTGTGACACTAAAGGAAAACAGAAGTAACAGAAGGAAAATGTGGACACAATTTGGGCCAAAAATGTTGTACCAGACAGTTCAAATTATATGTTTATTTTGGTTTAGAATTACACAATCATCAATTTTACATGACCGGAAGATGAGTAAAAATTTCTGCTCAAAAACAAGTTAAATATCGTGCTGAAAACATTTTGATTCCTAGTCCGAATTATTCTGACGTTTTATCGACTTTTTTCATATCGGGCTGTCGTCGATTAACGTCAAAACTCCGGCCCTCTATAATATGCGGGAAATATGCGACCCGCACCCGGAGCGCACTTCAAACTGATATTTTAGAAACAAATCGTCACTTTCACACACATGTCGCACATGGATCGAAAGATCTATTCTTTATGCACTAGGTGGTATCAATAAGATGTTTCAAAGATCATTACGAAAAGCATTTTCCAACGTTTTCTATACCAACCCATGTTTTTTATGGAAATTAGGCCCTGAGAAATGTCACATGACTTGACGAGATCTCGCGTTACCGAAGGTATTTCACAACGTTATGACGTTGGCCGGTGAGATTTTAGTCACGTGGCATTGGAAGGCGGGGCTATTTAAAAACTAGAGTAAAACAGAGTAAGTTTGAAAAAATATGTTTTTAGTGATTGTATTAGTTGTTTGAGGCATGTTATGTATGTTCATCTTGTGCATAAAGAATAGATCTTTCGATCCATGTGCGACATGTGTGTGAAAGTGACGATTTGTTTCTAAAATATCAATTTGAAGTGCGCTCCAGGCGCGGGTCGCATATTTCCCGCATATTATAGAGGGCCGGAGTTCTGACGTTAATCGACGACAGACCGATATGAAAAAAGTCGATAAAACATCAGAATAATTCGGACTATTTGATACCAGACTCATTGAATGAGTGATATGATATTGGGTGGTCGGTGAGATTTTGTTGTCGGAGGAAAGAGAAAAAATATCAAGATTTTTCCTCTATGTTTTATCCTGGAAATATTTGTGAAAATAAGGAGTAATAGGGTTCCAACAATTTATTAATTGGTCAATAGTTTTTAGCCAGCATTAAAAATGAAACCAATATTCAATTTACATAGGTTTTGATAGAAATCTGAAGATTTCATATGGGAAATTTCCAGGGACGTTTACACGTTAAGATTGATTTGTTTGCAGATCACATGTGGTACATTCCTCTTAGCTTTAGTATTTGTGAATGAATCTCCTTGTATTAAAACTTGTTCAAAGAGTGAACAAAAGTATAAACACTATATTTCAGTTTTGAGGAGTTGTCTGCCCATACTGTTGTGTAATTGAGACGTGTCATTATCATGTTTTTCCTCTTGCGACTTTCAATGCTTTTCTTTATATTTTCCTTGGTTTTGTGTACTATGCCATACTGGGTATTCTTGTCGGAAAGTGTTATGGTGTCAGCAACAATAAATGTATTGATTACCGTTGATTTCTTATATTGTGTGATACCTATTTTCACAACACCAGTTGGAAATCATAATTTCTTCATCCGCGATACTCCAGGGGTTCCGCTCAATAACACTCTGCACTCCAGGAATATGTCTTAGCAAACCGTAGAGCATGCTGCTAGCTATTTGATTGGTCTTAGGGGGGAAAACCTGACCAATCGCTCGGCTGATACATGTCCTTTGAAGAAAAATAGGGACTGCCGACTTCAAAGCAAGGCAATTTTACTGTTACGCGGCCTTGAGATTCTTTTGATATTCATCAAGGATTCAGCTTCTCTCTTTATCTCATCCACAAGGTGTTGTACACTGAAGCATACATTTTGTCATGACATACTAGGGGTGCAAAGAGCGCAAGTGAGCGTTACTCCTGGAGTAATGATCATGTGACCTGTGAGTTCGTACATGTTGGTGAAATTAAATGAGCACAAAATAGAAGTAGCCCGCAGTATTTGATCTTAATTGAAAATTGTCAATAACAGAAAATAATAAGATTGTTGAAATTTCGTGAAACTATCAAAAATGTTGGCAATGACAATTTCCTGTCCTACTTTTTAAAGCAGGTTCTATGTATACTCAGTACAGAAAAGAAAGCGGATTTTAATGTGACACCCATCGACATCTAAACGATCTATACGCTACATGCAAGATGGTCTAGGTGATCTATCCAACATCAAAATGCTGTTTTGTTGCAGTTAAGTTCTGACAATATGACTTGCATGTACTGGCACACAATGTTTTGAAAAATTGCTTCATTATCATGGCATTGTAAAAATGGGAATACCATCGGCCTAAAAATAACATGTATATCTCAAGTACGCTACAACTTTACAGTGCCACTGCAGACTTTTACACTAACACTACCAACATACTCGGGTTCAAGAATGCAGCAATCCACCAAGCCTACATGCCAACACCTCCAGATTCTACTCATCGCCATATAACAATCTGGATTCATACAAATCTAGGTAACACCCAATTGCAACAACAGCGTATATTGGCTAAGTTAAGGTGATTGTTATGGTGACGCCCCGTTCAACTTGGACAAGAATGCCACGCTTTTTAATCTGGCCACTTTCAGTTAGTTTGGACTGATAAATACACAGTGACCAAATAATGTCTTGTGGCCACTTATCACAGGAAGAAACAATTTTGCAGGTACAGTTTAGATTTATATAGCAGTCGTTTAACAAGGTCTGCCAATTAACAGCAAGTCGGACATCGATCAAATTTGGTTAAGACCATTCAAAAGTAGCACTCCTGAGAGCACGCCAACATATTTTCCTCGGAATTCGTGAAAGTCCGGGCATCATCTCGATGCATATTGGTGACATTTCAATGAGTATTTCTTCCAACACGAGCTGCAAGAAGATTTTTAACATTTTGACTGGTCATTGACATAATTCCCGAGTCTGTTTTCAGAGGAGCGTGTTAACCTTTTTGTGCCGAGTATGTATTGTTTGGTGCCATGTTTAATGTAATACCAGTTTGATTTGGGCTGGCAATCATCACAGGTTTGCCTCAATGTTTTGAAATGTTAATAATTTTACTATTAAAAACAGTGGTTTAAGTATTTGTTGATATTGTAAGGTAAAATGTAACGCTAAGCAAATGAATTGCTATTTAATTAATTGATACATCTCTGGACTGTGTGTATTGTCAAAGCTTCTTTGCAACATTAAGCTATAGAAAACTAAATATAATTCTGTTGTGTTTAACACACTCACCCCTATGTAAGTTGAGTGAACTCTACCATGCATTATTTTGGAAGAGTCCATTATGGTCTACAGTGATGAAAGGGTTAAACTTGGAAATGTTCATGTGGTTATAAATACATAAATGCAAACTCCTTTTTTTTGTATATTTATGTATTTCTTTGAGAAAAAATAACAGGGTTATGAGTAGATTGTGTTTCAGGACATTTGAAATGAATTGAGTTGTATGGTTGGTACGATGCCACAAGGTCTATTGAATGTACATGTCGTTTGGATAAAGTGTATGGAGGCAATTAAAACGAATCCCTTAACTAGTTATATAGCTTGTAGCAACTTGTTAAAATTTCACTTGGTATCAAATTTTGTGCAAACTGTGATAACAAAACCATTAATATAGAGTGCTGAGTGTTATGTGAAAATCTACAGTATCTAACGGTTTGGTTTTTCGCTTACAACCTTTCCCCAATTGTCTCTCTGTGTTTTATAGTCAAGATGAGTCCCTAATGATGATAGATGAGGAAGAGTTTGTTATCCTTTGAGATATAGATGAACTCTTATAGTTCTGAATCTTGATGAAATAATGGCATTTAATATAGCGTCAATAAAATTGTCATATAATGCTTTCATGTTTTAGTCTTGTTTGTTTAATCTATGTGCTCATCTTGTTTGATTAATCTATGTGCTCATTGACAATCTTTACTTTTTTTAAATTCATGTCTATATATATTGTACTGTTGTATATTGTACTGTTGGTAATATGTGTTGATAGTGTGACTCGTTTCATTTCAATTTTCATCATTTGGACAGTCGGCAAAATCGGGATAGTATGCTTTATTTTGTGACCTTGCATGGCCTTAATAAAACAGGACTCTGGACAAGTCTTTTGTAAGATAAAATTAATATAAGGTCCTTGTGATCATGGAAAGGTGGCGTTTCCTTCTATGTTGATCTAGAAATCCAGATAAACGCAACGACCTGTGATCGACTCATTGGACTAACATAGAATGGCTCTTTATTACCAAACGGCTGTCTTGACGCGATATTGGCAGCGATTTTTTGGTGCCTTTTTCGTATTTCAATGGACATTTTGTGGTTCTCTAAAGATATGAATAGATATATTGTGTCGATTTAAATCCAAGATGGCCGTTATGATAACACAGTCTGTAGTGATTCTACAGGCCAATAGGGCCTCTTGTTAGATGCCAAGCTACACGAAATTTCCCTATATCATCACAATTACTGATTTTACTGTATGGAGTGAAGAATCGGTAGGTCAGTACTTTAAACAGTAAAAGGAGCCTGGCACTAATGTAATGATCTTTATTCATAGGTTAAAGTTTCAAGAAACTGCAATTAACAAGTGCCGGTACATCAATTAACAAGTGCCGGGTACATCAATAAACAAGTGCCGGGTACATCAATTAACAAGTGCCGGGTACATCAATTAACAAGTACCGGGTACATCAATTAACAAGTGCCGGGTAAATCAATTAACAAGTGCCGGGTACATCAATTAACAAGTGCCG